ACACACCTATGAACATATAATTTTTGACAAAGAAGCCAGAACTGTACAATGGAAAAAAGAAAGCATCTTCAACAAATGGTGCTGGCATAACTGGATATCAACATGTAGAAGGCTGCATATAGATCCATATCTGTCACCGTGCACAAAACTTAAGTCCAAATGGATCAAAGACCTCAACGTAAATCCAGTTACTCTGAACCTGACAGAAGAGAAAGTAGGAAGTAGTCTTGAATGCATTGGCACGAGAGATCACTTCCTAAATATAACACCAATAGCACAGACACTGAGAGAAACAATTAATCAATTGGACCTCTTGAAACTGAGAAGCTTTTATAGAGCAAAGGACACAGTAACAAGACAAAGCAACAGCCTACAGAATGGGAAAAGATCTTCACCAACCCCACATCTGACAGACGACTGATATCCAGAATAAAAAAAGAACTCAAGAAATTAGACATCAAAATGCCCAACAGTCCAATTAAGAAATGGGATATAGGGGCTGGAGAGATGGCTCAGAGGTTAAGAACACTGGCTGTTCTTCCAGAGGTCCTGAGTTCAATTCCCAGCACCCACATGGTGGCTCACAACCATCTGTAATGAGATCTGGCTCCCTCTTCTGGCCTGCAGGGACACATGCAGGCAGAACACTGTATACATAATAAATAAATAAATCTTAAAAAAAAAAAAAAAGAAAGTTATTTAAAAAAAAAAAGAAATGGGATATAGAGCTAAACAGAGAATTCTCAACAGAGGAAGCACAAATGCTGAAAGACATTTAAGGAATTGCTCAACATCCCTAATCATCAGAGAAATGCAAATCAAAATGACTCTGAGATACCACCTTACACCTGTCAGAATGGCTAAGATCAAAAACACTGAAGACAGCTTATGATGGAGAGGATGTAGAGCAAGGGGAACTCTCCTCCACTGTTGGTGGGAATGCAAGCTTGAACCACCACTTTGGAAATCAATATAGCGCTTTCTTTGAAAATTGGAAATTAATCTCCCCCAAGACCCAGCTATACCACTCTTGGGCATATTCCCAAGGAATGCTCAATCATACCACAAGGACACATGCTCAGCTATGTTCATAGCAGCATTGTTTGTAATAGCCAGAACCTGGAAACAACCTAGATGTCCTTCAACTGAAGAATGGATAAATAAAATGTGGACATATACACAATGGAGTACTACTCAGCAGAGAAAAATAATGACATCATGAGGTTTGCAGGCAAATGGATGGATCTAGAAAAAGTCATCCTGAGTGAGGTAACCCAGACTCAGAAAGACAAACATGGTATGTACTCACTCATAGGTGGATACTAGATGTAAAACAAAGGATGACCAGACTGCTACTCACAACTCCAGGTAGGCTACCTAGTAAAGAAGACCCTAAGAAAGCCACAGGGATCACCCAATGACAGAGAAATGGATGAGATCTACATGAGCAAACTGGACATGACGGGGGGCAGGTGGTAATGAAGGGCAAGGGTCAGGAGAAAGAGAGCTTAGGGGAGTGGGAGATCCCAGCTGGATCAAGAACAGAGAGGGAGAACAAGGAAAGAGATACCATGATAAATGAAGACCCCATGGGAATAGGAAGAAGCAAAGTGCTAGAGAAGTCCCCAGAAATCCACAAAGATACCTCCACAATAGACTACTGGCAATGGTTGAGAGAGTGCCTGAGCTGACCTACTCAGGTGATCTGATGGCTGAACACCCTAACTGTCATAACAGAACTCTCATCCAATGACTGATGGAAGCAGATGCAGAGATCCATGGCCAGGCCCCAGGTGGAGCTCCAGGAATCCAATCATTGAGAGAGGGGAGGGATTATATGAGCAAGAGATGTTGAGACCATGATTGGAAAAAGCACAGGGACAAGTAGCCAAACTAATGGAAACACATGAACTATGAACCAATAGCTGAGGGGTCCCTAACTGGATCAGGCCCTCTGGATAAGTGAGACAGTCGATTAGCTTGAACTGTTTGGGTGGCCCCCAGGCAGTGGGACTGGGACCTGTCCTTAGTGTATGAGTTGGCTTTTTGGAGCCTGGGGCCTATTCTAGGACACTTTGCTCAGCCTGGATGAAGGGAGGAGGGGACTGGACCTGCCTCGACTAAATCTACCAGGCTGAGCTGAATCCCCAGTGGAGTCCTTGCCCTGGAGGAGATGGGAATGGGGGGTGGATTGAGGGGGAGGGCAGTGGGGTGGGGGATTGAGTACAGGGGAATCCGTGGCTGATATGTAAAATTAAAAAATAAAAAACAGAACAGTGATGTTCTCATCTTAAGACTCACGCTCCTCCCTTCCTACCCATGGACTCTGCTATTGCAACCAAGGTGCCCAGCTATGTAACTTCAGCCCCAGATCACTGCTTATATGAGTCAGGTCACTTCCTCTGGCCACCTGCTCAAGGTGTGGGAGATTCCTAGGAAGAGAGCACATGCTAAGAGCTTAAGAGTTCCATGACCATAGTGATACCCTGGCAAATGATGTAGGTAGAGAGGGGCAGGAGAGGCTTCTTCAGTGTGATGTAAGTACCTGAAATCTATATCTGGCTATATCTCTTGGACTGCAAAGCTTAAAATACTTACTACCTTGCTACACTGTCAACTTTACAGAATCTAGAATTGCCTAGGACATAGATCTCTGGATGTATATGCAAAGAATTTTCTAGATAGGCCAACTGAGGTGGGGAGGATGTAGTGGGTACCTGTACCACCCCTAGGGGCTGGTACCTCAAGGTCATAGGAGGACCAGGGACCCACTACAGGAAGACTACCCTAATTGTGAGTGGCACTGTTCCATGGGCTCGGGTCATGAACTAAGTAAAAAGGAAGCCCACTGAGCATCAGCCTTCATCACTTTCAGCTCCATGATTGATAATACAGTGTGACTAGTCACTTACAGATGCTGCCTCCAGAACTTCCCTGTCAAGGTGGGCTGTACCTTTAAACTGTCAGTCAAAGTAAATTCTTTCCCCTCCTAACTCACGTGTGTCAGGTACTTCGTCCCAGCAGTGAGAAAGGTAGCTGACACACCTGCCAAGTTTTGATCCAAAGAAGTCACCAAGAATCATGACAAAGTTGTGTTTGAGTGGATGAGAGTGAGATATGACAGGACGTCTTCAGTAATTAGTGAAATCACCATTGAGAATAAGTCCTAAATTATGAGAAAGAGCAGTGGATAGAACAGCTCTGTGTCTGTCCCCCTTCATGTCACAGTTTTCAATATTTTCAGAAATCTTGGAAGGAGAATGACCTAGGGGTGGCAAAGATTATTGCTAAAATAAAATAGGATTCCAACATGCTTCTAAAAATTATTGCCTTGCCATTATCATTACGGAGGTATAAATAGTTATTGTGCTGAAGTAGAATAGACACTTGAAAACTATAAAAAGATTAAGCACATAATCAATAGTGTGCCATCAATGTTGAATTTTTAGCAAGTTTAATACAGTTCTGAGACCAGCTTCTCCTATGAAGCTATTCCAAGTGTCCTTGGTTTCAACTCTAACGTCTTGCTCAGAAGTAAACTTTGCATGCAAATTATTCATTGCCTGAAGAAACTGAGTTCGCAGGATGCTAAAATTAGAACTACCATCTAAGGGATTGTTATTGAATATTTCAAACAATTGATGCTTGCCTCCATTGCAGTCATGACAAGAAACAGGAGATGACAAAGGAATAATTTTTAATAGATGGCTATTTTTTTCTGCATCATTTTTACTTTGAAAATGATCTCCGTGGGCAGAGTCCTGTCAAGGGGAGGCTGCATGAAATGGTGAGGAGCAGTGAAGTTCAGTCCCAAACACCCATTCATCCTTGTCTGACAATGTGACATTAGTAAGTTACTATCCTTCTTTTGAAGCAAAGTTTCCCAAACCACACAATGAAGATGATGTTACTAACACGTGCTGGGTCATTGTAGAGAGTCGAGGTCATGTGTGTCAAAGTTCTCAGCACTATGTCTGGTTCACTGAGGCTCATACACCATTCTTCCAGGGCTATGCCTGTTGTGGGTCCATTTATAGATGAATGAGAAAGAAATATTATATGACAATGTCTCAAATGGAAATTATGGGTTGTTTAACCAATAAGTAGAAAAAGCAAACTATTCCTTATGAGAAGAATTCAAAATGGTGCAGAGAGAAACTTGTCTGTTTGTGCTCATCTATTCTTTGTATTAGGTCAATGAAACAAAATCCCCATGAAGAGCACCAGTATCTAAAAAAAAAAAAAAATTAAATGCCCTATCCAACCAACTTTATACATTTGAAAGTTAAATAATTAGAAACTCATATTAAATTTTTAAAAGTCACCCAGTTAGGTAAAGGCAGCCCTCTCTCACTGTTACCTGGCAACACAGTGAACACTAATAAGCTTTCTCCCTTGTTGTGTCTCTCTTTTCCTCCCACATGAAAACACCTCTCCCTCACGCGATTACACAGGGACATCGTGTCCTTCTCTTCCTCTGCATGAGCCTTGCTTTCTTCATTAGTACTTGACTGTGAGTCAAGAACACTGGTTCAGAGCCAGCACGTCTAGAAAGAATTATGACCTATCTATTTTTGTCTGCTTTTTAACTTCTGCAACAAGATCTACTCTGGAACGTGAGCACGACTGGGCATTTTCCTGTGCTGTTTCCTGTGGCATCACTTGCTACTCACCTGCCATCTGCCGCTGTCATCTATTGCATCGTCTATGTCTATTCCTGTGTTCAGGGGAGGAAGAGGCCAGGCCCATGGCATTCTCTACCTATGAGTTCCAGGAATGGGCCCTAAACTCTGCCTGTGGTAATGGTGTCATAAGCCATCAGTACAAAAGCCAGTTCTGAGATTTTAATTGAACTCCAGGGATGGATAAGATACCACTCCAATGCTCACCTCACTAGCTCCTCACACTACTCCTCGGCTCACCCAGAACCTCACCCACATGGGAACAGCAAATGGAGGCTCAGACAGAGCTTTAGCCACTCTGGAGCAACATCCGCTCACCTTCCTAAAAGGTGCACATCATAAGATGTTTGAATGATGTATGCGATGCCAGAGACAGCAGCCGACAGCAGCAGCTTTGGGCGCTGGGTGAACAGTGCCTCCTTCTCAAAAGCAAACTGGAGCTCCTAGGAGAAAGACACACACACACACACACACACACACACACACACACACACACACACACCAAAAAAAAAGTCATGGGAGAAAAGCATCATCCAGAAATTGTTTAAGCTCTTTAAGTCAGACTTGGGACAGAAAGAGAACATGGGTTCTGCCCAAGACTATGTGAAAGACAGACAGCATACCAACACGGTACTTGAGTTAACAGAGGGAAGAAAAGCAGGTGAGGGACACAGGATGTAGACTGGCACTTCCTGAAAAGGGCCAGAAAGCTTCAGAGAGAAAGTATCCCTTAGCTACAGAGCTGGGGCAAGATCCAGATAGAGACAGAAACAGCCATGGACAACTGCTCCACAGCAGTGTGACCCAGCACCTCCAGGGAATGTCAGTCAAAGAAGATTCGGTTCCTTTCCCCTGCCCCAAACTTGTGTTACCTCTCTGACATTCACTCACCCCAAATGAAAAGTAGAACAATCTGCACTAGGCCCTCTGAATGAGGGTGACGGTTGTGCGGCTTGAAGTGATTGTGAGTCCCTTGGCAATGGGACCAGGATTCATCCTAAGTGCATGAACTGGCTTTTTTTAGAGCCCATTCCCTATGGTGCCATGCCTTACTCAGCCTTGATGCAGTGGGGAGGGGCTTGGGCCTGCCCCAACTTGGTATGCCAGCCTGTGTTGAGTACCCAAGGGAGGGCTTACCCACTATGAGGGGTGGGTGGGAGTGGGATGGGGAGAGTTGGGGGGGAGTAGGAGAAGGGGAGAGAGGGGGAAAATGGGGCTGTATGTAAAATGGAAAAAAAAACTTCAAATAAATGAGTAAACCTTAAAAAAGAAAGAGAGAGAGAGAGAGAGAGAAGAGATGAGAGAGAGAGAGAGAGAGAAAGAGAGAAAGAGAGAGAAAGAGAGAAAGAAAGAAAGAAAGAAAGAAAGAAAGAAAGAAAGAAAGAAAGAAAGAAAGAAAGAAAGAAAGAAGAAAGAAAGAAAGAAAGGAAGGAAGGGAAAAGTAGAACCATTTGCTTGTTGGCCTTACTTCAATTAAGAAGAGAAAATTCCACCGGTCATGCAAGGGGGGCTGCCTCGTAGTCCAGGGTACAAGAAGAAGAGATCAAGCCCATCAAAGCCATGTGTTCTCAGGAAGAATACCACTGAATCAACAAACTCTTCACGGCTGGCAAGTGTGGACAGCATAGTGGTGAACCTGCAGGAAGTCCAGGGTAAGGCAAAGAACACTGTCTTCAAAACCAGTGTCCTCGGAGGCCCTAGCGAGGTCTCCCATACGGCAGCTTAAGTTGGCACAAGAGGCGAAGTGCTTTCAAGAAGAATTCCCACCCCTAGCTCTTTCATTCTCTGGCTTTTTTGATATTTTTGTTTTCTTTTCCATAGCAAAACACTTAGAAGTAATTATTGCTTATCAGAGCTGAACTTTAAGCAAATCCAGATTAATCCTGTGAAAAGTAATTATAAAGTAAGTAGACCCAGAGATAAATGGACCTGGGTTCCATTGTCTATTGGCCACCACTCAGCTGGGCCCTCTTGAGGGGTGAGGACACCTGGAAGAAACCTGGAAGTTCCTTAACACTTGTGACTGCTGCTTTCTTTTCCTAATAATTTGAAATATAGCCATTTTACAAGAAATCATTCATCTATACATATATATGTACATGAATACATACATACATACATACAAACATGCATACGTACATACATGTGGCATCTCATTTGGCTTTAGGCTCACAGCAAGTCAAAGGAACAGAGATGAGGCCTGGGTTGGACAGAGCTAGTTGTCGGATACCTCACACCTGGAATCCTCCATCCCACCTGGAGGTCCCTTACAAGGGGCGTCCTACACACACCAGGCTATCAAGTCTCCCTCCAAGGCTGGAAGGCAGACTCTGCCCCAGACCTTAGCTAGGAAGTAAGGAAGGTGTCCTTCTAAGAATATGAAGGTGGTTCGTCATTTCCCTACTGAATCTTGATGGGGACACTACCAAGAGCTGCCACTTCATGAAGGATGCAATCTGTGAGTCCCCACAATGGCACCAAAGGAGCATTTGTTGCTTCTTCATCTCTAACACAGCCAGCTCCAGCTCCGTGCACAGAGTGAGAAAGCCCAGGGCCGGTGAGGTTTGGGGGTTACTCTTCTTGTCCTATATAAAACAACTCTCTTCAGAAACAAAATCCCTGCCTCCAACAAAAAGAGTTAAAGACACATTTGTGGGTGTCCTGTTTTACCTGTTACTCATTTCTCGCCCTAAGTTCCACATCCAATGCCTATTTTCCTTGGTATTTTTCCCTATGATTTTGTATCTTGTGTTTTGGTTTGTTTTGTTGTGGTGTGTGTGTGTGTGTGTGTGTGTGTGTGTGTGTGTGTGTGTGTGTGTGTGTGTGTTTTCAGATGGCGCTAAGGGTCAGACTCAGGGTCTTGGTCCTGTTCACCACTGTGCTCTGCCACTGTGCCACACTGTCAGTCCTAAGTGCGCCATACGGTCTCTCGTGTTCCCCTGCCCCTTTTCTCACCACCTTTAGGAACCTCTTTTCCTCCTGTAATCCTCCATGGAAAAGGATCCCTTGAATCCAGCACTTGAGAAAGTATCAACATGGGCTTTGCTGTCTCTGTATCCAAGCTAGCTTTTACACAAGCACACACACACACACACACACACACACACACACACACACACACACACACCATTATTCTCATTTCCAGCCCATCTTACTCTACCTCCCAGAGACAAGACAGTGACAGAGCTGCTCACCGTGCCGTGCCGAAGCTCCACCCTCCGATGGACAGCAGTGTTTTCAGCGCCCTGTTCCTGGAAGGTGGGGGAGAAAATGGGTGAGCAGATCCCTACTCTACGAGCAGATGCAGTCCCTGCTCTTCTTTCTTCTGTGCATTGGGAAAACAAAGGGAAATGGAGCAGGGGACATGAGAAGAATTGGAGAAGGTATGTGAGGGAGAGTACAAAAGTAAAGAAAATAGAGATGAGTAATCAATCCAATGACCATTACAGCTCTGTGCACCAAGACTATACAAAGTGCCCCAAGCTCCTTCACTACCCCGTAATATTTCCAGAAAAGTCTAAAATGTTTCTTGTCACTCATTTTCCGACTCAACAAATATTCACTGAGCAATGACTATGTGCCCTTGACTGTCTGAAACACAACAGCAAACACGTAGACAAGCATCCCACTCACCTCTCTGAAGCACTTTAGCAGCATTAATCCCTCACGACTGTGCTCAAAAGGTGAGCCAGAGTTTACCAGGAGAAAGGAGTATGAAGACATCCAGGGACAGGCAATATTAACTACCAAGTCATTGAGGCAAGCTCAGGAGGCTGGGCAATAGAGAGCTCTTAAGTTGGAAGCACTCAGATCCCCATTTGAGAGAAAGGTAGGGATAGGAAAATCAGGAAAATTTAAGAGTAAAAAGAGAAATAGGCTTAATTTTCCTCTGGCTATAAAATCTGAAACTCCAACCGCACGTCTAACATACCTCTCCTTGAGTTTGTTGAACTCTGGGTAGAGAATTTTCTCATCCTGGAGATTCTTGGCAACAATCTGATTGTTGTTCATTGAGGCAAAGGCAAATATCAGGTGTGTACAAAGAAAGGGGTCCAGGTCATGGGGCAAGATGGAGGCAGGGTCTGGCCGACTGTGAGCCCAGTTGGTGAAATAACACACTAGCTTGTAGGCAGTACCTGGCAAGGACAGCAAGTATTAGCAGAGATCATGGGCAAGGAGGGAACTCGGCTTCTGGAGGGTAGAGAAAGCACAGCCAAAAGAAGACCAGGTCACTGTAACAGCCTCCATCCCTCCCGCATATAACAACACCTCCTCCACATGTCCCTAGACCTCTTGCCCTTTCTACTGAGGCCCAAGAGAAGGAAGAATGCCTTATCGGTCTAGATCCTGGCACGTACTGAGCCATACAAACACCAAGTGGCCAGCGTCCTGTGCTTAATTGTATTGGATCAATAACCTCTGACCAAGGAGCCAAGACAGATGGGAGTCCAGGAGACACTGAAAGGAGATTTCCTAGCCAGAGAATCTCCCTGGCTTTGGAAGGAAGGTGGTTTCCTTACCATCATTGTGTTTCGTCAGAAGAACAAGGCCTGCAGAAAAGGGAGGAATTCATATACACATGCAGTGTGATATACCCCCATACACCCTGCAGTTAGCAAGTGCCCCCTCCAGCTCAGCACCATACACACATGCAGATGCGCAAATAGTGGACACACACCACTCTGGTTTCCTCTCCTTCAAAGTTAACATAGTGGAGCTAGTCTAAGCCCCGTTTCTAATCATCACATGTACCTGTACATGCTTTGCATAGGGACAATGATAGAAGTCCAAGCTAAGGCTCTCAGTCAGTGGTTCTCAATTCTGACAATAAATTCAGAAGTACTCATATCAAAGCACTCTCCTCCGAAATCCTGAATAACCTGGTCCAAAATGAAGCCAAAAGATGAAAACAACTAGGTTGGAGAACGGATGCCCTGACCCTTTCCCTCTGAGTGCCTCTGATTCTTTTATTACGTCTATCTCATATGTACCTAATCCAGACTCCCTGAGTCCCAGGCTGCTCTACTGGGCACCAGAGAAATGACAAAACTAGTATCTCCTGAGCTGTGTAGCATTGCTAGGCTCTGCCATACTCACCAACCCACAACAGCAGTCTCCCCCATCTCAGCTGTCTGGCAGCTCTGGGAATGGAGCTCAAGTCCCTTTAATAGGAGCTGGCCCGTGTGCAGCATAGGGAGAGCCCAGCTACACACACATGCCATGCCAGAAACGATGACCTCACAATGACCTCAGAAATGTGTAGGTTCTCAGGGCCAACAAAGCCATATTCCTGGCCTGACATTAGCAGGAGTCAAGTATTCACCACAGGCTTTAACAAAGACAAGGGCAGTGTTCCTGAGCCTTGTCTGGCAATTGCCCCATTTCCTGATATCCAGCTCCCCACAGCTGAGGTGGAGGGGAAACACTGCGTGATGGAGCACGGCCATAAAGATTATCGGGAAGGCAGTGTACCATATAGCTCCAAAGCTTCAACTTTGGATTCACGCATTAGGGGGAAAGGTATGAATTTCTGTGATATCACTTAGAAGTTTTATACTTTTGGATGAGTTACTGAGCCCCTGCAGTTTCCACACATAAAGGAAAGCCTGTTTTCCTTGAGTTAATAGTTCATTCTTACCTCCCAGGAATATACAGAAAACTGAAGAGATAAGCTTAATTAATTACCAGATGTTATTAGGAAGTTGAATAAAGAGCAGGATGCTCAAACTCAAAATACTGACACTCAACAGGCAGCTTATGTCAACAGGTAAAGTAAATACACTAAAACAGCATGTTCTCTACATGACACAGAGTGAGAGTTCAGACCCAGTGTCTAATGTACAACCAGACTGGAAAAACTATTGCGCTAGCTCCTTCCCTGCTTCCTCTGACCTTGCACTGTCAACTGAGATGCAGCCTTGAGGTCTGAGAGATTGGTATGGCAGGGGACAGCAGCAGCTACTGGTTGTCCTGCATGGGAAGTGGAGCTGATAGAGCCATCACTTTCTCAGCAAAAATAAAAAGAACCCTGAAACTTTGCAAGAGTCAGAAGACATCTGGGTGAGTATATGAGCCAACCATGAGAATGAGCCCTGAGCATCAAGAATATGAATATGATTATGGACACCCAAGAGCTAATTTTAAAGAAATGTTGCTTTTGATCATCGATCTTCTCTCTTTCATGTTCCAGATGGTTTTGGACTGTGTGCCCTCTCTCTGAGACAGATGTTGCCTGCCTATGTATTAATAGGAGGGGCTAAGCAGATGTCAATGCAATGGAGGATTCAGAGAAATCATAGTGCCCAGTAGTGAAATCTGTTGAACATCTGTCCTTCATTTATGGAATGAAATAAGCAAGAAACTTCATAATCTTTTTTTTTTTTTTTTTTTTTTGGTTTTTCGAGACAGGGTTTCTCTGTGTAGCTTTGCGCCTTTCCTGGAACTCACTTGGTAGCCCAGGCTGGCCTCGAACTCACAGAGATCCACCTGGCTCTGCCTCCTGAGTGCTGGGATTAAAGGCGTGCGCCACCACGCCGGCTAACTTCATAATCTTTAAACCAGTAGTTTACTTAGATATCAGAACAAAAGACAAATGGAGTAGAATGTGTGTGTGTGTGTGTGTGTGTGTGTGTGTGTGTGTGTGTGTGTGTGTGTGTGTGTGTGTGTTTCTTGGAAAGCAACAATGCTTGCAGTGAGGAAGCATGGGCTTTAATATCAAACAGACCCTAGGGCCCCTTCCTGCACTGTATCATCCCTGGGGGTCCCTTGAGCCCTGTCTACATGCTTCATGTATCTTCTATTCCTTGGGCTACTGTTAACCTAAATCAGATCAACAAGCCTCCCAAAGCCAACACAAATTAGGACCAACAAGAACTTACACCATTGGTTTAATGACTCTTAATGTTCTTTTTCACTCTTATGACCATGCTTGTTTCCCAGTCACTAGTCACGTGCCCTAATTGTTGTTATTGGGTCTATGACTTTGCAACCTGATCTATACATTAATTGGCATTTGCAGTTGGATTCTGGAGCCTTTGTCTTGTCCGGCTCTCTTCCTCGTGGCCTGCGGGGGGGGGGCGGGGGGGGGGGGGGTAATTCCTGGTTCCCTTTTGAGACCTTGATAGGAAATGTTGGTCTACTTCTGAGCCTTCTTCCACTGCGATTCCTGCCTTTCAAGACTTCCTGCACGGCTGAGATGCCCTTTTAAGTAGATTTGTGCCCTTCAACTCGCACTGTTGCCAGGAGCACTAGCTGTCAGTGTAATTTGTCTGCCAGTCTGTACCTCATTTCTCCACATCCACAGGAGTAGCTATGATGCTGAGAAAGCCAAGTCTAATTCAGGGGTGACCATGCCAAAAAGCTGGCAACTCTGATTCTGTATAGTGGTTGATAATCACATTAAATAAGAATCAAATTTGAAATCAATGTGTCTGTTCACAATCTTATTCCTTCAGTTCTTGCATTAAAACAAACAACATTGGGCGATCCCTGTGTCTTTCTTGGGGTCCTGTTTTCCGGGTAGCCTCCCTGGTGATGTGAGTAGCAGACAATTCATCCTTGTTTCATGTCTAGTATCCTGCTATGAGTGAGTACATACCATGTTTGTCTTTCTGAGTCTGGGTTACCTCACTCAGGATGATTTTTTTCTAGATCCATCCATTTGTCTGCAAACCTCATGATGCCATTGTTTTTTTCTGCTGAGTAGTATTCCATTGTGTATATGTACCACATTTTGTTTATCCATTCTTCAGTTGAAGGGCATCTGGGTTGTTTCCATGTTCTGGCTATTACAAACAATGCTGATATGAACATAGCTGAACAAGTGCTCTTATGGTGTGGTTGAGCATTTCTTGGGTATATGCCCAAGAGTGGTATAGCTGGATCTTGGGGGAGATTGATTCCCAATTTTCTAAGAAAGCGCCATATTGATTTCCAAAGTGGTTGTACAAGCTTGCATTCCCACCAGCAGTGGGAGGAAAGTTCCCCTAGCTCCACATCCTCTCCAGCATAAGGTGTCTTCAGTGTTTTGATCTTAGCCATTTCTGACAGGCGTAAGGTGGTATCTCAGAGTTATTTTGATTTGCATTTCCCTGATGATTAGGGATGATGAGCAATTCCTTAAATGTCTTTCGGCCATTTGAGTTTCCTCTGTTGAGAATTCTCTGTTTAGTTCTATAGCCCATTTCTTAATTGGACTGTTGGGCATTTTGATGTCTAATTTCTTGAGTTCCTTATATATTCTGGATATCAGTCCTCTGTCAGATGTGGGGTTGGTGAAGATCTTTTCCCCATTCTGTAGGCTGTCGCTTTGCCTTGTTGACCGTATCTTTTGCTCTACAAAAGCTTCTCAGTTTCAAAAGGTCCCATTGATTGATTGTTTCTCTCAGAGTCTGTGCTACTGGTGTTCTATTTAGGAAGTAGTCTCCAATGCCAATGCGTTCAAGACTACCAGAAAACAGGACCCCAAGAAAGACACAGGGATCGCCCAATGACAGAGAAATGGAATGAGATCTACATGAACAGCCTGGACATGAGTGGGGGTAATGAAAGGCGAGGGTCAAGGGAAAGAGAGCTTGGGGGAGCGGGAGATCCCAGCTGGATCAACAACAGAGAGGGAGAACAAGGAATAGGAGACCATGGTAAATGAAGACCACATGAGAACAGGAAGAAGCAAAAGTGCTAGAGAGGCCCACAGAAATCCACAAACATACCCACACAACAGACTGCCGGCAATGGTCGAGAGACAGCGCCGAACTGACCTACTCTGGTGATGGGATGGCCAAACACCCTAATTGTTGTGCTAGAAACCTCATCCAACTACTGAGGGATCTGGATGCAGAGATCCATGACTAGGCCCTGGGTGGATCTCTGGGAGTCCAATCAACGAGAATGAGGAGGGTTTAGATGAGCGAGAATTGTTGAGACCAATGTTGGATAAAGCACAGGGACAAATAGCCAAATGAATGGAAACACATGAACTATGAACCAATGGCTGAGGGGTCCACACTGGATTAGGCCCTCCGAATGGGTGAGACAGTTGATTGGCTTGATCTGTTTGGGAGGCATCCAGGCAGTGGGACCAGATCTTGTGCTCATTGCATGAGTTGGCTGTTTGAAACCTGGGGCCTATGCAGGATTGTTTGGCTTGGCCGGGGAGCGAGGGTACTAGACCTACCTGGACTGAGTCTACCAGGTTGACCTCAGTCTGTGGGGAAGGCTTTGCCCGTGGAGGAGATGGGAATGGGGGGGGGGCGTTGGGGGGAAGGTGAGGGGGACGGGAGGGGGGAAAACAAGGGAATCCGTGACTGATATGTAGAACTGAATTGTATTGCAAAATAAATTAAAATAAATTTAAAAAAAGAAAAAAAAACAAACAAACAAACAAACAAACAAACAACCCAGCCAAGGCTTATGTAACACATCCACTGGCACTTAGAATATATTCCTTAGTGCTTAGCCCATTCTTATGGGGAAAGGCATTTACTAGCAATATATTCCTTAGTGCTTAGCCCATTCTTATGGGGAAAGGCATTTACTAAGGTATGTTACTTGGGTAACTAAAAAATTCCCCGAAGGAGCATGACGTGAAGCAGCAGATGTGAAGTCTTTTGTTTGATCAAAGCATTTGACTAAAAACTTTTGACACTGTGGAGGAATTGCAGAAGCATGTTTAAATTAGTTGTGTGAATGATACAAAATTCCAGAGTATTGAGCATGTTTCACAGTAGACCTGAATGAGCATTTTCTAGCCAATTACCTCATCTTGTGAAGGCTGTTTCCCAGTATTTATTATAAAAGATAACTGTTGGTTAAGCATGAAGGCTTTTACCTTTTATCTTCATATTGAATGTTTATTAGAAAATGTGCATTATCACATAAAGCAATGTTTTCACAGCTCATGTTCCTTGTCTTTTTATTCTGACATGTTTGAGCGCATGCCAGTACTCACTTAGACTTGTATAACACTGGATTTAAAAATTAAGCAAATTGTTCCAAGTTTCTTTTTTGTTTGTTTGTTTTTTTTTGTTTTTGAAACATGCCCTCATATCCCAGGCTGAAGATGTGAGCTCTTCACTGAAGGATCCATGACTACCTCCATAGCTACAGATCCACAAGTTAAGCAGTCTGCCTTTGGAATGAGAAAATGTACATCCAGGGAAACCAGGCACACTCAGCTTAATGTTTCTAAGCCTGGTCAATGTCATGATTTCTGACAAATTGTAGACTGCAGAACCCAAAGCCAATTTAGCTTGTAGATATAAAATGTATTCTCAGCTACAATCTTCATTGCATTGCTGAGATCCCAAGTGAGAACTACTACCAAAGTGGAAAATTTTCATTTGAAACTAATTCTTAATGCTTTTAGCACAATGCCTCTAAAATGAAATGCTTGCCTACAATCTGGCACTCTTAACATCACAGGGGCAAATGAAATCTGTTATCATGAGTGACTTTTCAACCAGTGATACTGGCTGGCTTCCACCAAAACCGTATGTTAGGGACTAAACTCTATTTACTGAGCTTTTGGACTTTGACAGTCTATTCCTTCACACAAAGAACAGCAAGAATATCATAATAAGTATTCCACAGTAAATGGAAGACCACATTAAACATAAGACTGTAGGATCATGCATTGTGTTCCATGTAACTTAATTATTCCTCCCTTCCAGAAGCTCATTCCTCCTTCAGCCCCTTTTGGGTGTCCCTGTCCTATAATCTTACACAGTAAGATTAAAACATCCATGCTTCCATGGAAGTCCAAAGCCCAACAGTCATGGAAAACCTCATAAGGAAATGTGTTTGGATATTCAACAGTGGTCTACATGCCCTGCTTACTTTCCAACAGTATTGGTGTAGACTAGAGATGAAGTTCTGGAGAAAATTTCTGAGACTGGAGCTTGCTTACCCTTTCCCAAACAAAAACAATTCTGGTTCTGAACTTTTTCCCCAGTATTATCCATATTGGCAATAAGCAGCTCACTACACATGCTGACCTAGATACAAATTCTCTGTAGTTTCTCCCACACATGGACTTTGTTTACATGCTCTAAGCCTTCATAATACACGCATGCGCGCGCGCGCACACACACACACACACACACACACACACACACACGACACCACACACACACACAATAAAGGTTATCTTGTCTTTTCCTATTCACATTTACTTGGTGGACTCAAAGCTAAGCCAGATAATTATCAAAACACAAAGAAAACAAGACATTGTTCATTCTGTCTAAATACAGTACCTTTTAAAAGCCAGAGCTCTTTACTCTCCCATCTACCAACAGCAATGTTATGATGACCTGTGGAGTTGATGAGTTTTAGAATATAAGGCTTTTTCCCCAATAGCCTGTCCTTCCTTTTATACTAAAAATATAGAAGCCCAAAGCAGTTTGAGTTTGGGTACTTTCTAAATTTATGTGCATATAGGTGGGCAGAGGACGACTTGCAGAGTCAGTACTATCCTTTCACCATGTGGGTCCCAGAACTCAGCTCATCAGGCTTGATGGCAAGCACTTCTACCCACTGATCAATCTCCTGACCCTGACTTTGGGTAATTTTGAAGCTGTGACAGTAAGCCACAAGCAATGGCCACATGGCTCTTTACTAAAGAACCAGGGACCAGCTGTTCTACAGTGAGATACATAAAGAATCAGTAATATCTGATGTCACCTGAGACTATACAGACCTTCAGTGTTTCACATCCCAAGAACTAACCACTCTAGGAACAAGTCTCAGACCTTAGTGGGCCAGGGGGTCAGCAGTTCAACAGTGGTCAGGCTAACAGATTTCTAAGTGTGAATAACAGGGCTGAGGAAAAGCATTCACTCATGTCCAGACATTTGAACAGTAATACTAACCTGATGAACAATGCTTTTCAACAAGCAAAATGCCCCCATTGTTCACTGTTACTCGGGCCTTGCAGGACTGGAAATACTCTCAAAACAATGAATGACCTGCTACAACTCCAGCCCATATACTCCCGATTATTTCCAGGTCTTTTATTCTTAAGTATCTTCTCTGCTTATAATATACAATCATCCCAAAAAATTATGTTTGTCATTACTTGTGGCTTTGACTAGCTTCGTACATCTGTGACAAGCATTAATCAATGTGAACTACTTTCTATCAATACAGACCTAAAAGGAAACTTTCAAGATTTTTATGTGCATGTGATGACTTTGGAGGCCAGAGGTATCTGATCTGGTGTTACAGGTGGTTGTGAGCCTGGGAATCAAACTTAGGTTCTCTGAAGAGCAGTGCTCTTATCTACCCACTATTCATTTTTAAATAATGGTGTCATTTTAGCCATTCTAACGGTTTTTTATTTTTAAGTCTTATTTAAGTTTTCCCCCCACTCTATCAACCTTGAGCCCAAGAGACAGGCCATGTAAATGCTACCTGCCCTTCTTCCCTAAGCGACAAAACACAAGCTTTATCTCTAAGCAGCATACAGTAATTCCACCTACCCATTTTATTCTTTCCCCAGAACTTAAGAGCATTGGAAACCCGTACTCCCACCCAGTCCTGGGTGACCATGACTGCAAATTCTCAAGTGTTTCACTCAAGGGTAATCACAACAGAGCCTTATGACTAGCAAGTATAGAAGGGAAGCCCATATTCCTTCAAGGGGCTCACTTCATGTGCTTTTTCCCAAACTATAAGTTGGAAAGCTCTAAAGTATATAACCAGTGGTCCTAAGCTCCAATATAATCAGTTATTTATCATGAACTAAATGGAGTGGCTAGACCACCAAGGAGAAAGTTCTAACTTGACTAGCTACTTTGGGATGGTGGAATACAGTGGGCAGGAAGACTGACACTCTGGTGACTCACCTAAGTGAGGCAGGCCAAAAATAACCACAGCTTCAGTATTTCTGAGTTTCCCTAATACTAGATCTCAAATCTCAGGAGTCCACAAATACAGCACTCAGACTTCCTATCTCCAGAGGAAGGTGTCCAGTGGCAATCAGGCCTCAGGGGTATCTTTAGGTAGGAAAAATGACAAACAGTTCTCTGTTTGTGACTTCACTGAAACACCTTTAAGTGCTCCATCATCCCTAAAACTTTCTGTGAAATCTAGGACAGGACAGCACTCATATCTCTCATACACAACAATGAGGAGGGCACAGGGTGAGCAAGGACTACATTGCAACAGCCAAATTTATTTACCCAGAAAATGGATTTGATTCGGCTTAACAGGGATTTGTAGTATTTTCTGTGTCCTCTCAAGGTACAGTGGGCTGGACTTTTGTGAATGGAAGTATTTCCCATAATAATGAATTAAACTCTATATAAAAATAAGTTACCCCATCTGAGTAGCAGAACTACTCCCACGAATCTAGGGATACCCACATTCCATATGCCAAACAAAATAGCCAATTCTTGGACTTAGGGAGCATAAAACCCTCTGGTCACTTTGTGGGGAATACAGAACATTACTTTGGGAAAGCTGAAGGATAATTTCCCCCACCCCAAACTACTCAATACACTCATATACATGTGTTCTCACACATACATCCATTTATAAAGGAAGTTTTTCCTCCTAGTCACTATGGAATGCAGCCTCCCTGAGGCTGAGATTCTGCCTATTTACTGCACGGGACTAGGGAGTAAACATGCTCTACAAGGCTCCTGTGCTCTCACAATCAGAAGGCAGGGGCAAGCCAAGTAGATTCTTGCGGGTGGAGGGCTTGTTTTTTTTTTTGAAATCCATTCTACTCCACAACATTCTCAGGTCCAGGGGCTGGGAGAGGCTCTAGGGGCACAACATGGTGGATGACTTGATGGTCCCAGCCAACTGTGGTAAGGAGGGAGTGGTTGAGTGGAGACCACGTAGCATCTCTCACGAAGTCTCTGTGGGCTCGACTTCTAAACCTAGAACAAAGGGAGTTGAAATGGGGGTGTGGTAAGAGACAAGACAAAAACCCAAGTGATAAGACAGAAAGAAAACCTAACATGCTCTGGACACATTTTTTGAAACATTTCACCACTGTACAGCCTCATCACCAGACTGGAAGTTCAATCATCAAATGCAGTCTAAAGAAATGGTGGGCAGAGCAAGGAAATGGATATATCTATCTACAACCAAGCAGGAAATCATAGCAAAGGAAGATGTACACCCAGGTCTTCCTCCCAGTGCCTTTTACGCTACCAAAGTGGTTCCCTACCTGAAGCTGGAATGCTAGCTAGACTTAGCCTACAATCAGACTGCTTCCAGTGCTCAGTCTCTGCACACACATAGACACAAATGGAGAGAACTCTTGGCGAGAATAGGGGTGGTTGTCGAGAAATTTCTTCTATTTATTTTTATTTTTAATAATGTTTAAGTGAGTATGTGCACCTAAGTGCAGATGCTCACAGAAGCCAGAGGCATCATATGCTTTCTATATGGAGTGGTATATAGCTGTGAGCAGAATGATGTGGATGCTGGGAACAAAAGGAAGTGGTCTTAAGTGCTGAGCCATTTTTCCAGACCCAACAAAGGAAGAATTCTGCATGCATGTTCCTGAAGAGAAAACAGACCTGCTTGCCCATTGGTCTTGATCCCCAATTCCTGATCATGGGATTCTACTTCAAACTTACATCTCAGAAAGGCTTGAATCCAGCACAGCAAGTGAGCAGTCTTCACTGAGAGAGGCCAGAAAGGGAACACTAGGAGAGGGCACAAAGGGAAGAGACGATAAAGCCCACAGATTCCACAACCAAAACCTGACTGGGCTAGCTCCAACCCCACCGTAAACTGAGCCAAGTGAGAAGCCAGCCTGGTACGCAGTTCAGGTTAACGTCTTGCTGCCACTACAATTCCAAACAAAGACAGGGAAAATCGAACAGAGCCCATGCTCAAAGAAACCATCCTGGCAACCAACTACCCCAATGGGTCCCTCTCTACATTAGCAATTACCCAGAATCAGACTCCTCAACCACATGGTGCCAGAAGCCTACATTGTTAACCAAGCTGTGTTGAACAGGAATGAGATCACATTTCAGCCTATACAACCCCTAATAAGGACTACATTGACTAGCTTAGGAAAACCAAGCTAGAGCACTGTCCCATCTAAGGAACAATGTAACCAGCTAATGCTTTGCTAATAGACACATCCCTTATCACTCCATTCCTACTCCTTCACCAGAGTCCCCACCCATCCCTTCCAGGTCCTTGGTGACAAACAGTACCTGTGTGGAGAGAATACCAGTCTAGTGACACACTGGGAGTGTACAGCTGAGCTGAGGGTACAGCTTGCATTCTTGGTGTCCACAAGGGAGACAGATCCATTCTCATCACCTGTAGAAGAAACAGCTTGTCACAGTAGTTAAGAACATACACTTCAGGCTGGGCATGGTCAAGCATGCCTTTAATCTTAGCATTCAGGAGGCAGAGGCAGGATGATCTCCCAGAGTTCAAGGCCAGCCTGGTCTACATACCAAGTTCCAGGGCAGCCAGAGCTACACAGAAAGACCCTGACTTAGGAGAGAAAACAACAACAAACCCACATAGGCTTTGTTATCAGCCAGACCTGGATTTGAATCTTACATCCCTCAAGATATGGACAAGCACCACCCTGAGCACCAGTTTCCTTGTGTAAGGCAGGATCAGTAAGTCACTGTGGCTGTGACAATTACTGGATAAAGTTATTACTTTAACTACAAGCTGTTACCATGTGCAGTCACTAACCATGCTCAGAATAGGGGAGCTGGAACAATGAGGAATCAAACCCACTAGGAAAAAAATACGTTCTCCAAAGCTAAACAAAACTGGCATAATTCATGTAGTGCCTAGGTGTACGGACAAGAGCATGTACACTGTGCAGGGAGCATTTTCCCATCCTGCCCATGCCCGGTCAGCATGTCATGCTGCCTTACCAAAGACAAAGACTTCACTCTGCTGAGGATGCCAAGCCAGGGAGGTAGGAAGGTAGCCAGAAGTATTGCAGCCTAGAAAGGAGAAAAGGGAGGTTTGAAACAAAAGCCACAACCTAGAAGAAGCAGTTTTTCAAAAGAAGTCACAAAGTCCTGGGAACACTTTCACTGGGTTTCTTAAATACTGCTATGGCAATCATGCCTGTCCTCATCCCCGAGCCTCACAACCTGCATCTATCCATCAGTCTCTTGTCATTTGGGGTATACATTTAAAGCACAAAGCATAAAACTATAGCATAACTCCAGCCCTTTGTCTCTGTTTGACGCTAGTCCTTCCTCTTGGTACTCACTGCACTAGGTCAGCAGAGCATCAGTGACACTGAAAATGATGTCACAGAGGGTGGGCACCTGGCAACTCTGCTCTGACTCTGGGCAAACAAAGCCTCTTCCAAGTGGGTTCCTATTCCCACTTTCTCCTCATCAGTGGTCTAAGACTCACCCATCTGTGATGCTGGCTTAGGACAGCGGGTATCCCAGAGCAAAATTCGACTGTCCTAGGAAGAGGAACAGAAAAAGGGTTCCATAAGCCAAAAGAACAGCTGCTGGCCAGTCTCCACACTGGAGATTTAATAGGATATGGGACTATTAAAGTTCAGCTGTGGTTGGAAAGAAGTGACTGGATCTCACCTCACTGCATGAAAGAAACACAGAGTCCTTGTGGGGAGAGGCAGCAACACAGGTGACCTGGCCAGCATGAGCTGTGAAGGAGAAACATGGCAGAGAAAAGAGACTCTAAGAAGTAGGCCTGCTTCCATCATATAACTTAATAAATATTATGACAGATTATAAACCAAAACAACAACCAGAGGAAAAGTTGATAGTTAAAAAACCTGAAAGGCTAAGGGAAAATAAAGAACTAGTAGAGATGATGAAGTCCAATTACAATCTTGGAAAGAACAGAGGAGGAGTTTGCAATATGGATGTTTCAAAGGAAGAGGCTAACCAGTTCTCTAAGAGTTTCCCTAATAGAGACACAGACC